AAAATACTTGCATTAAAAAAAACACACACACACACAAATCCAGCACAGGCGGATCTGGCCACTCTAACGAACCCCACTGACAGGTTAAGCAGAGGTGACATCTGGCGTTAGGCCACTGTGCTGGTAAATGACTGAACTGGGCTCTGACCCAGGCTTAACTCCCAAGTCCTTCCCAACCTTGGAGTGGAAAATTCCAGTGTGACACAAGGCCAAGCTGAGCCAGCAGACGCGTGTGCCCTTTCCTCGAACTTCTTTGGGGTCAGTGCTGATGGAGGGCTCATCATTCACACTCCTTCACAAGCTGGGCTTTCTATTGGTCTGGCCTGGAAGGACTGGGAGGGGAAGCTTCCCTGCCAAGGGGGAGAGGGAGAAAGAATGGAAGAAGGGAGGGGCAGCTGTGCAGGGCAGAGGAGCTGCAAGGATCTGGCAGAGCGGAAGGGAAGGGCTAACTTGCCACCCTTGTCCTCCGGCCCAGAGGAGGCTTGTGACCCAGCAATAAGGAATCTAGAAAAAGGCCAACTGACTGACTCCAGGACTCTAGGCTGGCTCATCCACAGAGAATAAGAAGAGCCCCAGCTCTGGTGATTAGTTAATGAATTCTAGGTACTCTAGGGCAAGGCAGATTTCTCCAAATAGGCCATCCAGGGTCACAGGCACACACTCACACACACACACACACACACACACACACACACACACACACACACACACACACACACGGGACCCAGGAGAGTGTTTCCCCCACTCCCTTTATGTCTTCAGGGATTACCCTGTCTTGTGATTTCCAGAGGGAATAGAAGTTACTAGAGCACCTTCTAGACCTAGACCTGTCCATCTAAGTACCAAGGGGCCCCTTACAGATGCCCAGTCTGCATCTCAAAATAACCCATGCAAGCCAGAAACCAGTCTCATTTTGTTAACTGCTCCTGCCAGAAACCCAAGGCATCCTTAATTTATCTAGCTCCACCTACTCACTCACCTGTTCATTTATGAGCCCACCCATCTGTTCATCCATCTACCTATCCAACCATCTAATCATCCATCCATCATTCACCATCCAGCATCTATCTAACCATCCATGCATCCACCCACCCACCCAACAACACAACCATTTATCCATCCATGCATCCACACACCCATCCAACAACACAACAATCCATCCATCCATCTATCCATCTGTCTACTCATCTATCCATCATTCACCATCCATCTATCCATCCTTCATCCATCCATCTACCCAACAATGCAACATCTACTTGCCTATCCATTCATCCATCCATCCATCTTCCCAACAACCAACCATCCAGCCATTCATGCATGCATGCATCCATCTATATGCCCATTTTACTATCCATCCATTCATCCACCCAACATTGCAACAATTCATTCATCCATGCTTCTATCCATCCATCTGCCCATCCATCCATCCATCTATATGCCTACTTTCTTATCCATCTGTCCAACTAGCCAGCCATCCACCCAACAACAATCCATCCAACAATGCAACAATTCATCCATCCATGCTTCTATCCATGCATCTGCCCATCCCATCCATCTGCCCACTCTCCCATCCATCCATCCATCCATCCACCCAACATTCACCCATCCACCCATTTATCCAACAAGTCACCTGTGAGCACCTCTGTGTGCCAGGCAGGGCATCTACCATGCACATACAACATCAAAGAACTTCTAGTATCTCTTTCCCAGTTCCCAGAGTCTATTCACCCCATTTCTGTTCTCTGCTGCTTCCAAATCCATACCTTAAAATCCATTCATTTCCCTCCCCCCACCTCACTTCTACTTCAGTCACCTTCATGTAAGCTACTGTCCCTTCTTGTCCAGCCAGAGTAAGGACTTTCTCTCTTCCCACCCACTTTAGCTTCCTTTTACTGCACCTCACATGGAGGAGGGCTTGTTGAACATAAAGCAGGTCAGTCATTTGCTGGTTTGAGACAAGCTTTGTGCCTGCTGAGCTGCTCTGTTGTACCCAGTGCCACGGGGTGCAGGGGTCTCCCATCTATTCCTTGAAAGCTAGTTCTGGCCGCAGGGTCCTTACCATTCGGTTCCCCCACCTGTGGTGTTCTTCCCTCAGTCTTCTTTTTGTTTTGGTTTGGTTTCTGTTTTGCTTGGTCGGTTGTAGGGCTTGAACTCAGGGCCTGGGTGCTGCCCCTGAGCCTCCTTTGTGCTCAAGGCTAGTGCCATACTACTTGAGCCACAGTGGCACTTCCAGTATATGAGTGATTAATTAGAGATAAGAGTCTCATGGGGACTTTTCTGCCTGGGTTGGCTCTGAACCTTCCACCCTCAGATCTCAGCCTCCTGAGTAGCTAGGATTATAGATGAGCCACTGGTGTCTGGATTTGTTTCTTTCTTTCTTTCTTTCTCTTTCTCTCTCTCTTTCTCTCTCTCTTTCTTTCTCTTTCTCTCTTTCTCTCTTTCTCTCTCTCTTTCTCTCTCTCTCTCTCTCTTTCTCTCTCTCTTTCTCTCTCTTTCTTTCTTTCTTTCTTTCTTTCTTTCTTTCTTTCTTTCTTTCTTTCTTTCTTTCTTTCTTTCATTCTTCAGTCCTGGGGCTTGAACTCAAGGCCTGGGCACTGTCCCCGAGATTCTTTTGCTCAGGGCTAGTGCTCTAGCACTTGAGCCACAGTGCCACTTCTGGCTTTTTCTGTTTATGTGGTACTGAGGAATTGAGCCCAGGACTTCATGCATGCTAGGCAAGCACTCTACCACTAGGCCACATTCCCAGCCCTCTTCTTTATTTTTGTCAATGGTGGGGCACTGCCCCTGAGCTTTTATGCTCAAGGTTATTGCTCCACCACACAGTGTCACTTCTGGTTTTCTGGTGATTAATTGGACTGGCTTTGAACCATGAGCCTCAGACTGCAGTCTTCTGAGTAGCTAGAATTACAGGTGTGAGACACTAACGCCTGGCCCTTACACTCTTCCTACTACACTCTTCATCCTTTACCACAAACTGCCTACTCTTGCCCTTTGTCTAAGTGGAGTCTCTAAATGACTTGCTTTGAGGATGAATACGATTTGTCAGAGTTCAATGAAGCATGGCACCTGAGTTGCAGAATTCTCTCATTACGACCCATGTTACCGCAGCATAATCTTTGCAAGGCAGGGGCCATGTCAGTCTTGCCCCCAGAGCAGGTACCTTGTAGATCCTAATATACTACATCCCTGTGATCTTAGATACTCAACAGGCTGAGATCTGATGATCACAGTTCAAAGCCAGGCTAGGAAAGAAAGCCCATGAGACTTTTATCTTCAACTAACTACCAAAAAAGCCCGAAGGGGTAGAGTGTTAGCCTTGAGCAAAAGAAGCACAGGAACTGTGCCCAAGCCCTGAGTTCAAGCCCCAGAACAAACCAAGAGAACAAACCAAGCCCAACCAAACTTAGCAGCCACTTGCAGGGAGGGGTCTTAGAGGTTCTGCTGCTGGCATCTCCCACAGCGGGGCAGCCCCTTTTTCAAGGCCTTACCTCCACTAGTTCCTTGGGGAGAGAGAGACCTCTGGCAGGCTTTTGCTCAGAAGGAAGCAACATAACACCAGAAAAGCTACTGGACCAGTGGGGCAACTCACAGCAGGTGCAGAGGTGTTTTTGAGCCAGCAAATGATCAGACTTGATTTACATTCACATGAAGGGTGGAGTTCAAAGAAGCCACAGTGGCAAGGAGTGGGAATTGAGCCCCAACTCCTCCCCACCCGCCTCTTATCAGTGCTATTCGGGTCCAGTGGCTCAGTAACCTTGGACTTGTCCAAGAGTGTGGGAAGGCAGTATTTGAGCAATGTGGATAGAAAGCTCTGCATAAGTCAGGCACCGGCAGGCACACACACACATGCGTTGGTCTGGTAGCTAATGTCAGCTTTGGTTTGCCACCCAGCTTATGTGCTTTATGTAAATGATATATTCACACCCTCCTCCCTCTCTCCTCCTCCTCCCTTCCACCCTCTCTTCCTTTCCCCCTCCCTCCCTTTCCCCTTCTCTACCTCCCTTTTTCCTTCTCTCTCTATGTCTGTCTGTCTCTGTCTCTGTGTCTGTCTCTGCCTCTGCCACTGCCTCTCTCTCTCTCTCTCATATCTGTCTATGTGCTGGTCCTGGGGCTTGAACTCAAGGCCTAAGCACTGTCCTTGAGCTTTATCTGTTCAATGCTAATGCCCTACTACTTGAGCCACACCTGTATTTCTGGCTTTTTGCTGGTTAATTGGAGAGTCAAGGGCTTTCCTGTCTGAGCTGGCTTTGAACTGGGATTCTCAGATCTCAGCTTCTTTGGTGTGTGTGTGTGTGTGTGTGTGTGTGTGTGTGTGTGTGTGTGTGTGTGTGTGTGTGTGTGTGTGTGTGTTGTCAATCATGGGGCTTGAACTCAGGGTCTGAGTGCTGTCCCTGAGCTGTTTTGTTCAAGGTTAGCCATTCTACTGCTTGAGCCACAGCTCCACTTCTGGCTTTCTGGTGGTTCATTGGAGGTAAGAGTCTCATGGCCTTTCCTGCCCCGGGGCTGGATCCACAGATCTCAACCTCCTGAGTATCTAGGATGACGGGCGTGAGCCACCAGTGCCCAGCTTAGATCTCAGCATCTAGAGTAGCTAAAATGATACCTGTGAGCCACAGGCCTGGCAAGCTTTCTCGATCTCCTGATTTCCTGCCATACCTGTGGACTGGGCCAGGCTGAGGCCTACCTTCTAAGTTGACAAGATAAGAAACTAGGTGTCCGGTGACCAGATAGTTGGCTCAGTGTCCCTGGAACTCTGGTTAAGTGAAACCCCTGCTCCCCCCACCCAGCCTCCACACACACACACACACACACACTATCATTTACCAAAGCCTACGTGCCAAACTCCCACCTGCCCTACCCTGTACTCCGATTGCTTCAGGCCTGAACAGATCTGCAGAGTGGAATTGGTTCCCCTCCTAACCCCCCAGCTCACAGCTGGGGCTTCTCTGCAGAGCACAGTCAGTCACCGGGGGGGCCCCTTGGGAAGGGGAGGGCCTTACCTTCTTCCAGATGCAGCCTCACCGATTGGGAGCTGGTGGGGAGGTTGGGGGGCTTCAGAGGTCAATGGAGGCGGAGATGGCTGGAAGAAGGGAGACCTTGGGGCTCCGGTCCTCCTCACCTGCGGCTGTCAGCCTCCACGCAGGTCAAACTCCAAACTCCAGGCCCGGGTTACAGCAGGGGTTAAAGGAAGCAAGAAGAGAGGCAGATCCGTAGAACCCTTGAACTCTGAGCAGGCCCCTTCAGTGGAGGTGGCCAGCCCTGCCTTCAGCCTCTGGCCAGGCCCTCACCTGATGGGGGATGGAGGGGGGGGGGGGTAGGGCCCAGAGGAAGGGGGACAATCTGGAGCTTGGAGCCTCCTTGGCTTCACTTACCAACTCCTCCACCCTCTGCCTCCTCCCTCCACACGGGGAGCTGGCAGGCAGCTGCCTGAGGAGGGGGAGGGGGAGGGGGAGGAGAGCCGCATGGGGGTTCCAGAGATAAAGGAGATTTACAACCGTGCTGGCCCAGCCCCTTCCTTACCACTCTGCAGATCCCAGCTGCGGTCCAGCATGCAGGGAGCACCAGAGATACCAAGAAGCTGCTGGGGTGCCTGGTGGCTCACACCTGTCATCTTGTCTACTGTGGAGGCTGAGGTCTGAGGACCGTGGTTCAAAGCCAACCCCGGGCAGGAAAATCTGTGAGACTTTTTCATCTTCAATAAGCCACCAAAAACAACAAAAACCAGACATGGAGCTGTGGCTCATAGTGGAAGAGCTCCAGCCTTGAGCATAAAAGCTCAGGGGCAGCGCCCAGGCCCCAAGTGCAAAACCATCGGACCAGCACAGAAAAAAAGAAAAAGCAATAAAAGACACCAGGAAAGCCCAAGGGAGGGAGAGGAGCCATTGCAAAGCCTTTCTTCCTTTTCCAGAAAAATCTTTAATCCCTAGCATCTGAGACGGGACACTTGCGAGTCGGTTCTGCGCTTGCTACGTGTCGTGGACACTCCGGCCATCTGGCGACGCAGCTGGCAATCCAGGGGTGGCTATCACCCCACTAGGTCCCTCTTTCCCTTCAGGTCCTCAGTGCAGGCTCCGTCCTTGTTACTCAGCAGCCCAGAAACAATAGGAACAATAGCCCGTGTCTCTCGGTACCAGGAACTGTTCTGCGCTTGTGCTGCCTTACCAGCTCTTTCCAGCCGTCCCCTAGGCCGGGAAACTGAGGCAAGAATGGTGAGTATGCAGCTGGTTGTGAACCAGGCCATGTGCATCCCACAGGGACAGTGGGAGTGGGCTGGGATGTCCGAGGGGACTGAAGGTGGCCTGGCTATGGAGCAGATGATGTGGGTCCCCCAGGGCTGGAAGACGGCTGGTGCTGGAGAAAGGGACAGACAGGCCGGGCACCGGTGGCTCACGCCTGTCATCCTAGCTACTCAGGAGGCTGAGATCTGAGGATCACAGTTCAAAGCCAGCCCGGGCAGGAAAGTCCAGGAGACTCTTATCTCCAATGAACCACCAGAAAACTGGATGTGGCGCTGTGGCTCAAGGGGTAGAGCACTAGCCTTGAGCTGAAGAGCTGAGGGACAGCGCCCAGAGTTCAAGCCCCAGGACTGACAAAAAAAAGAAAAAGAAAAAAGGGATAGACAGGAGGCTGTGATTTGGGCTCGGAGGATGGAGGACAATGATGGGAAGATAATGGGGTGACTTAGGTGGTCCCCTAGACCCTGGAAGTCCAGGCTTGACTTCCTGAGCATGTGGGGAGAATTATCGTCATGGCAGTGAGGAGGTACAGCCAACTAGAGAGCATGTGGTCCCGCTGACAGGAAGCAGCCACTCAGCAACAGCAGGAGCAGAAGGTAGAAGATTCTAGAAAAGTTATACAAAATCTCACAAGTATTCGTGCAGCCGCCTTGGCCCCTGGCTTGGCATGCTGATCGTCTCTCTTTGCCATTGGTGCCACTGAAAATGGGCAAGAACAAAGCTAAAACTTTTTGGAAAGCCAGGTACCAGTAGTTCACGCCTATAATCCTACCTACTTAGGAGGCTGAGATCTGAAGATCACGGTTCCAAGTCAGCCTGGGCAGGAAAGTCCATGAGACTGATATCTAATTAGCCACCACAAAGCTGGAAGTGGAGCTGTGGCCGAAGAGATGAGTGCTAGCCTTAAGCACAAAGGCTCAGGGACAGTGCTCAGGCCAAGTTGAAGTCCCAGGACTGGGACACACATGCATTTGTGCCCATGTGTGCATACACACACACATATACACACACACACTTTTCTTTTTTTTGTCAATCATGGGGCTTGAACTCTGGGCCTGGGCGCTGTCCCTCAGCTCTTCAGCTCAAGGCTAGCGCTCTACCACTTGAGCCACAGCACCACTTCCGGCTTTTTCTGTTTATATGGTGCTGAGGAATTGAACTCAGGGCCTCATGCATTCGAGACAAGCACTCTATCACCGAGCCACCTTCCCAACTCCCCCCCATCTTTTGGAGAACTTTCTGGATGATTCTTATAGAGTTAATATCCCCCTCCCCTATCACCCAGCAATGCCCTTCTTGTTGCTTGCCCCCAGGAAAGAAAAATATACCATCTAGGCTGAGGATTAGTGGCTCATGCCTGTAATCCTCGCCACACAGAAAGCTGAAATCTGAGGATCAGTCTGGTAGAACAGTCCATGAGGCTCCATCTCCAATTAACCACAAATAACTTGGACTGGAGGTATGGCTCAACTGGCAGTAATTATATGGGTGCTTATTACTGTTAAAACTCATTGAATGGCTGGAAGCTGGCTGGTGGCTCATGCCTGTAAAGTAGCTACGGAGGAAAGTGAAATCCTGAGGATTAAGGTTTGAGGCCACCCTCTGGAAAACTCCATCTCCAAAATAACCAACACAAAGCTTGCTGAAGGTGTGACTCAAGTGGTAGAGTGCCAGATGTGAGCAAGCAAGCTCAGCAAGCTCAAGACTCTAAGTCCAGGTTTTTTTTAAGAAAAAAAAAAAACCATAAAATGGAATGAAAGACTCTGTGTATGTGTGTGTGTGTGTGGGGGGGGGGGGGTGTCTTTTTTTTTTGTTTTGTTTTTTGTCTGTCATGAGGCTTCTGAGCCTGGGCACTGTCCCTCAGCTCTTCAGCTCAAGGTGAGTGCTCTACCACTTGAGCCACAGAGCCACTTCTGGTTTTTTGGTGGTTAATTGAAGATAAGAGTCTCACTGACTTTCTTGCCTGGGATTGGCTTTGAACATGATCCTTAGATCTCAGCCTCCTGAGTAGCTAGGATTATAGGCATGAGCTGGCGGCCAACCATTTAAATTATTTCTTCCTTTTTTTCTTTTTTCTTTTTTTTGTCAGTCATGGAGCCTGAACTCTGGGCCTGGATGCTGTCCCTCAGCTCTTCAGCTCAAGGCTAGTGCTCTACCACTTAAGCCACAGCACCACTTCTGACTTTTTCTGCTTATGTGGTGATGGGGAATTGAACCCAGGGCCTCATGCATGCAAGGCAAACACTCTACCATGGAGACATCTACCCAGCCCCCTCTAGATTCAATTTTTAAAAGTTAAGTATCCAGTAATATATTCCACCTGGAGTCTTTCAGGATTAGGAATTTTTGAGAATTTCTATGGCAAAGGAGCCGAAGGCTGAAGTCCTGGTGAATAGGCCACACAGAGAAAGAGTGTTAGAAGAGGAGGCCCGCAGTGAAGGTCTGGGATGGCTAAAGGGTCTGCTCCAGACAGCGCTCGGCTCTCAGACAGCCTGGCAGGCTGGTGCACAGCGCTGTTAATGAGTCAACAGAGACTGAGTTGCTGAGCACTGGAACAGCAACTCCCTCAGGCAGGCAGCTTGGGGTTTGCAAAAGGAGAGAGACCAGCAGCAAACCAACAGCCATCCACTCTGCCTGTCCTGCTGGCTCAGTAGGAGAAATTCAGAGAGAAATGCTTGCCAGGCTTTCGAGAATACAGATTGGCAAGTTTTTATTTAGTTTTCAGTGGTTTATTTGGATCATGTGTTTTGCTGTTGTTGTTGTTGTTCAGTTGGTGTGTGTGTGTGTGTTCTGGGGCTTGAACTCAGGACTTGGGTGCTGTCCCTGAGAATTTTTTTCTCTTTTTCTTCAAGGCTGGCGTCACAGCCCCACTTTTGGCTTTTTTGGTGGTTGATTGGAAATAAGAGTCTCATTGGCTTTCTTTTCCCAGACTGGACTTGAACTTCTATCCAGACATCTCAGCCTCCTGAGCAGCTAGGATTATAGGCATAAGCAGCCAGTGCCCGGCTCATTTAGGGTTTTTACAGATGGAAGAAGCAGATCTCCTCGGAAAGCCGCCTGATCTGGCTCAAGGATTCTTCCAGAGAAAGATGTCGCCTCGCGCCCCCCAGTGGCCACTCTGGGGCGGGGAGTGGAAAGGGAAAGAAAATCCACACAAGGGACCAGTTGCAGTCATCACCAGAGCAAAGAGCTGTTTACAAAGACAATGCCATAACATCAGGCTGACCAAAGCGAGTCTGTTGTTTCTAAAAGTGGCTCTTTAAAGATAGTATAAATGATGCAAAACAAAGTGTATATATTTATGGGGCTTGAACTCTGGGTCTGGGTGCTGTCCCTCAGCTCTTCAGCTCAAGGCTAGTGCTCCAACACTTGAGCCACAGCACCACTTTCAGTTTTCTGGTGGTTTATTGGAGATAAGAGTCTCACAGACTTTCCTGCCTCAGCTGGCTGGCTTTAAACCTCAATCCTCAGATCTCAGCCTCCTGAGTAGCTAGGATGAGCCACCAGCGCCCAGCTATTATTATTATTATGTCAGTCGTGGGGCTTGAACTCTGGGCCTGGACACTGTCCCTCAGCTCTTCAGCTCAAGGCTAGTGCTCTACCACTTGAGCCACAGTGCCACTTTTGGTTTTTCTGGTGGCTTATTGGAGATAAGAGTTTTACAGACTTTCCTGCTCAGGCCGGCTTTGAACCACGGTCCTCAGATCTCAGCCTCCTGAGCAGCTAGGATTACAGGTATGAGCCACCAGTGGCAAGCCGCCAGCTATTATTATTTTTGTTGTTGTTAGTCATGGGGCTTGAACTCGGTCTGGGCGCTGTCCCTGAGCTCTTCAGCTCAAGGCTAGTGTTCTATCACTTTGAGCCACAGTGCCACTTCTGGTTTTCTGGTGGTTAACTGGAGATTAGAGTCTCACAGACTTTCCTGCCTGGCTGACCTTGGACTGCAATCCTCAGATCTCAGCCTCCTTAGTAGCTAGGTACAGGCATGAGC